TAATAATGTGAGAAGTGTACGAACGAAAAGACATTCACCATTGCCACGCCAGTTAATTCTCAAAATTATCGTGTTTATTCCGTTACAACAAAGAAAAAAACAGGTTCAAGAAAGGCGACTTATACGAGAGCTTAACCATTTCAGCCGCGGTATCATGGTGTCAGTTGGCGTGTCTCGAATGGGGAAAACTAGTGTCGTGTTCGTTGAACCAGACGCCAAAGTAAACAGTGAATATTACTGTGAACAAGTTCTCAGAAGAGGATTGTTGCCTGACATTCAAGTAAAATGTGCTCGCCGTAATTGAACATTGCAGCAGGATGGAGCTCCATCTCACACAGCCAGAATTAAAATCAACTTTCTTCGTCGGGAGAATATTAACTTCATCGAGCCAGACATGTGGCCACCGAACAGCCCATATTTAAATCCATTAGATTATGCCATGCGGGGTGCTTTGCAAGAAAAAGTCTACATGCTCAAGTTGGCAATAATCGAGGAATGGCGAAATCTAGGGCAACGTTTCATTGACAGAAGCATAAACGTGTGGCGTCGATGCTTGGAAAAAGTCATCGAGAAGCAAGGAGGACACATTGAACACGATTTCTGATTAGATAAATATTTTGCAAAAAACAATTCCATGAAGAATTATAATTAATTAAATTATATTTTTAAATAACTCATATGCTATGAGATGTTCTCACTTTTATTGGCCCACCCTGTATATGTATGTATATATATATATATATATATATATATAATTTAACACAAATTATATATCATCTATAAGGATTTCTATCATAACTTATTAAGGTTGGATAATAAAGTAATCATTATAAAATAAACTTGTAAAGAATACATTTTAAATCACTGATTATGCTACATAATATTGGGATGATGAGTCTACTTAATTTTACACGGTGTAGTGCAGTTTGTTTATATACCCCCACTGACCTGGCATTATCAGTATACCACATTCCATCAAGCGGGACTAGTTGAGTCANCCCCGCCCCAGGAAATGTGTACAGCAAAATATCAAATAGTTTTAAAAGACATGGACATGGTAATGATGCCTTTAACTTTTAACGGATTACAATTAGTGGAATCTATAAAATATCGCTAGACTCGATATATTTGATGATGCGTAGGCCTATATTTAAGGCTAATCTTGTTAGTGTATTCGGCTATAAATATCGTACTGGCCGCTCCAGTCTTACTTCCTGTTCGCATATATCATATCGCCATCTGTTTTCACATTTTAGTTCATGGCAAAAGCATGACTTTTAAAGTAGGGATGGGCTAGGCGTTAATTATACATTGTAGGCCTATAATGGCATCATGCTTTTTTTTTTTTACAGGCCGCATAAAAATCGTATTCTTTTCATCAATTATTATTAATTCGGAAAGTGTTTTTATTTTCTTTTAAATATGATTGTCTACTTTTGTCACAAAGTTTCCTGAACAACAGTTTTTGTTGTTGTTGTTTTTAAGGCTAGTTCTAGAGGCAAAAAACGGGATCACTTCACACCACTACTTGACTACAAACTCTCTGTTCTCTGCCACAACTTTTTTACCAAATTACTGCTCTTCCTATCTAACCGAAACCCTTTTTGTCTATTAATGTCTATTCATCCCTTCGACAGCTTCACTCCTCCGTATTCTTTCTGTCCCTAAGACTCGCACAAAAACATACGGTAAACGATCTTTCTCCTTCTGTGCCCCCCCAAACAATGGAATTCTCTTCTATTACACATCCGCAATGTACCGACCATCGCAGCCTTCAAATTTCAAAACTGCACTCAAAACACATCTCTATAAACTCTACTATCTTGACTGTTTCTCCCCACTGAGCGATAAACGATGCTGCTGGGTAGCATGTCCATGTCTTGACATGTAAATAGTTCTTGAATGAGTGGAGTAAATATACGTTTGTTTAGTTTTATTTAATTAATGTATGTTAATTAATGTTTATGTACAGCGTGGTGAGCCAAGCCATAGACTGTGGTACCACGCTATAAAACCAATCATAATAATATTATAATAAATACTTATGTAGCCGAGTGGTGACGTAGCTTACAGTTTGTTAAACGCCAAAAACACTGTAGTCGAGTGGTGGTGTGTGTGACGTAGGTGCAACAAGGCTACCACTGACAGCTACTAACAAACAAATGAAGGAATGTAGGTCTCGAGGACTATAGCTTTATTAATGTTCTACTATGAAGACAAAGGTGTATGAAAAAGGTGTAAGAAAAAGGGAAAGAAAAAGGACAATATCTGAAAATAAACAAATAATACAGGTTAACAATGTCCTGACTAACATAGCTAACAATAAACATGTTACATAACCACGTAATTACACGTGGCGACAACATATACTTAACTAGAAAGCATGATAAATGATACGTAAGTAGTATTGGTTCATACACATGGCAAAGATAATTATCTTGTACTACGAATGTTTTAACTATAAAAGAAACCACGTGCAGTGTTTAATTTGAAACACGTGCACAGTGTTAATGCTACACACAGAACCAGAGTGCGATGTGAGTGCTAACATAAACTTTAAAGATCTTGAAGTTATAATAGTATGCCATCCAGGTATGGTGTCTATGTAAGAGGCACACATAGCGGGACAGTAAATACAACGGTATTAAGTATGACTACCGTTGGCTTGATACTTGTATCTGTCCATCGCTGTGTCTTGTTAAGACAACAGCAGATTGCAGAATGAATCATAGTTAAATTATATGGGATGTGATCCTCACATGCACTATTTCCTATGTGAGAATTTAGCACACGGCAGGAAAGTTAGCCTATTACACATATTTGACGGACACTCGCTGGTTGTATACTGTTGTATCAATAGCTTATTTTATAAGCGCATTGCAGTTGCACTATTTCCTATGTGAGAATTTAGCACACGGCAGGAAAGTTAGCCTATTACACATATTTGACGGACACTCGCTGGTTGTATACTGTTGTATCAATAGCTTATTTTATAAGCGCATTGCAGTATGTGTACCCAGAACGATATGCAGTTGTTTGTTACGCACAAACCCTGGTCACTGGTATCTATTTATTAATCCTATTAAATAATTTATTTAACGGTTGTATGTTAACCTTTAAAATAGCATGAGCATAAGTCTACACGCTGTAGGTTATCCTACACTCTATCCTGGTTATAAGTCTGAACAGAAATCTTCCAATGCTAACACTCAACAAGTTCCTACTAACCACAAAGAAATAAAAATGGCGTAATTGCCTCTACTTACAGAGCGTTCCAATGGGCCGCACTGAACAAAGGCACACTGCAGGTATGCTGACCAAAGCTCGAAATGACCCCTACCTCGTGTGCTCCCCTTTTTAAAACCGTGCGCGGACATATCAGAGAGCCCCTACGTCACACCTAAACCGAGTCGGTCTAAGTTTTGCCTTCTGGCCAGTTCCCTGGGATAAAATGCCTAACTCTGGGGACTAATCCAGAGTAATAATTAAAATCTTTATCCACATCCCTAACGACTTATATGTAATCTGTGCAGTTTTGTCTTAGCTATCTAAGATGCTATTTTATATTTTTATGACTTAAATAGTTTTTGAGATATTTTAACTAGAAGGGGTGGGGACCACTATAAATGAAGGCGAAAACTCCTTTAATGACTAAACGTTAAAATATCCTCCAACGATGGAAACTTGTAAATATGCTAAGGTATAGTGAATAAAATCCCCGTCTTAACTAGATATAATGTATAACTTAATACGCTAGGGTTCCTGATAAATAAATTATTGAATTTCTAACCAACCTATGCGCCGGTCGTATAGTGACCGTCCGGGGGGAGGGGGGGGAGGTGAAAGGGATACCTGTTACGCACCGCGCCAGTGCTACTACACACCGCGCGACCTTGAGTTGGGCGCCAGACATGGTTTACGTAACGGGTCAAATAGTGGGTTGGGGCATACACTGCCACACTTAACTTACCCTATATTTATTATTATTAATTTCCCAACTGAAACTGCTTCTCTCTTTTTAATATCATAATAATAAACAAAGAGTCTCCTGACCCATCTATTTGCACTCATTTTTAAAAAATATTATTAATTTTATTTTAGATGAGAATCCAGTAGAAATCTTAGGGGGCCATCCATAAATGACATCACGCGCAAAAAAATTGGGGAAGGGGGCAGATTTTGTGACTATGTGTGTCGAGGGGTGGGGGCTTAAATCGTGTGACGCCATTGAAAAGCGGAATATTGTAATAAAGAATTGCACTTAATAACACTACATTACAGACATTTTAACATTATTCTTTTATACAATTAGGCTATAATTATTTTATTTTTAAACTACTATCACTGAGGGAATCAGTGCAGGTTCATTCGCAGTCCGAAGAATGGCCTCTGGTCAAGTTACAGGACGCAAAGGAGGAGGAGAATCGGAATGTAGTTACAATGACACTCGTGAGAACTTGTGGCTAAATCCATGGGCGCCCGCAGGTAGGAGCAAGGGGGGGGGCACTCCCCCCCCCCCGGCTTGATTGGATAAAAAAAATTAGACAAAAAAAGACAAAAAAAGAATTGAAGTAAAGAGAACAAAAA